TCCTAAAAGGTCATGACATCATAGAGTTGTAAAACTATAAATCATTAAATCAAGTACGATTTTAAAAGAGCTGCAGCAGCGTGAAGCGTAAAGAGTGTCAGACCTGTATGAGGAGAGTCAGCGCGAGTTAAGGCTCATTTATGCTCAACATTAAATACGGATCCGGATACAAACGCAGCCTTCTGTCCGTGCTCTGCGTTCATTTCGTCCGTATTTCTGCACGTTTCCATAAAGCTTACGGATACGGGCCAAACGGAGCAGTACCACCGGGAACCGTGGGGGCAGTGTTGCTGTCACTACCCGATACGTAGCTCTAGTGAGACACGAAGAAGAAATAACAATTCAGTTTCTCTCATCGTCAGTACTAGAGAAAAGAATTCTCCGTCCTCCAGTCACGATGTATTTAACGGCCTCACCGACCACCGCCTCCTACAACGCTGCCTCTGTTTTTGTCTTTTATGCAAGAGGCACATTATCAATATCTCCTCCACAGTCGCCATGTTTGTTTCTGAGTTTGTTGTTGTTATAAACTTTTGACTCTGGGCTGCCCCCTGGTGGATATATTGGTTAACANTCGAATCTGTAGGGGAGGGGGGGCGGACACGACTCGCGGCAGTATTTTGAATTTGAGTGCAGTAACCGTTTTGGCCACATTCCTACATACAGCGCCTTTAACAATAAATTGTGATAAATTTTGACTTTGAGTGTTTGTCTTTTTTAGACTCGTCGACTGGTCTAAATTAAAGTTTCATTTAGTCGACAGGAACATCCCTCGTAACTATAGCTGTCAAATAAATGAAGCAAAGTAGATTTATAAAGTAGGATAAAGTAAACTGTACTTCAGTAGAGTAACTGGGTGAATGTACTCAGTTACCGCCTCCTGTTTCTGTAGCTCAGAGCACACGTGGCTCATGAACACCTCCTCTGCTGTATGAACTCTTCTTCCCTTCAGTTTGTGTTTCAGAGACGATGTGTGTAAAAGTTTATCGATTGTTTTCGCTCATCGTCACCGGGGGCTCTGTGTGTGTGTGTGTGTGTGTGTGTGTGTGTGTGTGTGTGTGTGTGTGCTGATACTGGACATAAAGGAGAGCGCTCAGCCTCAGGAAAACCCCTCTGACTCCCAACAAATATCCACCGTCTCCTCGGCAGATGTGAAGGAGCAATAACATTAGACAGACTGCACCACCGGGGCCGACAGTTACGCACTATTACGCTGGAAAGACTTCCACCGACGGTTCCTGGGCAGATGGAGCAGGCGATAAGATCAGACAGAGTCGGCCACCAACTGTCAAATGGACTATAGACCCAGCTGAGGAGGAGGAGGAGGAGGAGGAGGAGGAGGTGGAGGAGCTGGAGGAGGAGGAAGAGGTGGAGGAGACCTGTGCTGACAGACTGCAGAGGCTGATGTAGGATGATGGACTGGAATCGAACCTGTGGCCACAGCAACAAACACAATACCTTTGTCCATGGGGCACCCAGTCTCACTCTGAAGTCATCAAAATCTGGCACTTGGGCAGCGAGGTGCGGTGGTGTCAGAAACCAATGAAAAAAGGTGCGGTGGTGTCAGCGGGAAACGTGGCGGGACAAGGATGACACCTCAAACTTTCACCTGAGAGAGTGCTGTTCACTTCCTGTAAGACTGTAAAGCCAAACCCTGTTCTTTGTTCCTAAACCCAACCATGTGTGTGTGTGTGTGTGTGTGTTGTTGAAGGAAAAAAAAATGCAAATTCTCTTTTATTTTTAAAGAGACTGTATCAAACTGTACATTTCCTGTGAAAACAGAAGTGTATTTTGAAAACAGACAATGCATGTAACAGGCTGAAGTTGACACGGCGTCCCAGAACGTCAACAACCAACACACCCAGGGTACCTTGGACAACATATGTGGACGTGGAAAGTCCATGACCAAACGTGGACATGTGACGAGGTCACAGTGAGGATGTGATGACCTGGGCGCCCCTGCTCTGCTTTTTCAAGGCGGGAATTTCACATTGTTACTCCGCCTCATTGTTCTGGATAAAAGGTACACCGGCACAATGAGGAGACAGAGTTGTTTCATCTATAAAGCAGCATCTGACGTAATAAACCTGACAAAATGAACATAGACTATAAATCATTTTAAAAATCATAAAATAAAATAAATCCTAAAAGGTCATGACATCATAGAGTTGTAAAACTATAAATCATTAAATCAAGTACGATTTTAAAAGAGCTGCAGCAGCGTGAAGCGTAAAGAGTGTCAGACCTGTATGAGGAGAGTCAGCGCGAGTTAAGGCTCATTTATGCTCAACATTAAATACGGATCCGGATACAAACGCAGCCTTCTGTCCGTGCTCTGCGTTCATTTCGTCCGTATTTCTGCACGTTTCCATAAAGCTTAAGGATACGGGCCAAACGGAGCAGTACCACCAGGAACCGTGGGGGCAGTGTTGCTGTCACTACCCGATACGTAGCTCTAGTGAGACACGAAGAAGAAATAACAATTCAGTTTCTCTCATCGTCAGTACTAGAGAAAAGAATTCTCCGTCCTCCAGTCACGATGTATTTAACGGCCTCACCGACCACCGCCTCCTACAACGCTGCCTCTGTTTTTGTCTTTTATGCAAGAGGCACATTATCAATATCTCCTCCACAGTCGCCATGTTTGTTTCTGAGTTTGTTGTTGTTATAAACTTTTGACTCTGGGCTGCCCCCTGGTGGATATATTGGTTAACACCCATACCAACGTAAAGGACGCATGGAAGTATGTGGGCAGTGACGGTAACATCGTTTGAAACGGACGTATACATTTTCGTACGTAAAGGGAGCATAAATGGGCCTTAAAGTGAACAGATAAGTTTTTAGCTTCCTGTTAAAATATTCAGCGAGCAGCTTCTCTGATATCTGCAGGTCGTGCGTTCGTTGGGACATCCCAGATCTTCTTCCAATAAACCAGCAGCAGATGATCACAGTGTTCTTGGTAGGGCTGGGTATCGATTCAGATTTTCCAGATCGATTCGATTCGATTTTCAAGGACTCAGTTCGATTTGATTCACGGTTCACGATTCCATTCGATTTAATTCAGTTTAATATCAATTCAGTCAAGTATATTTCAATTATGATCCAAATTTGCTTGGATATTAAGATATTTTCTGAGAACTAACCAAGTATATTTAACAAAGAACCCTCTGACCTGGTGCGTTACTATTAAAACTACTGTTTACATTAAGAATTGACCCCAAAGCAGCACATTAGTCATCATGTACTTTTATTTAACATTACCTGACCAACACATACAAAATAAATATTTTAAATTAAATCTAATCACAAGGCAGACAATTTAAATGAAGTGGCTACAAAAAATGTAAACAAAGACATCCACAAGTTTGCTGCCTGTAACCGTCTTATAAAGTCTTTGTGCAACACACTACAGTGGTTGTGATGCACACATTGACTGTATCAGAAGAGAAACAATATACGCAGGTGAACCCTGCAGCAAAGTGAACCCTCTTCCTCAGAGAGGATCTTTGCCTCCCAGTTTGATCCTGGCGGCAGAGCAGAGTGAACCGTCTTTCTTCTCAGAGGATCTTTGTCCCATGACAGCAGGCAGCTGCTCTCCGTGTCCACAGTGTAAACAACTTCGCTGGTGATTTGACAGTCACTAGAAGCACATTATGACCCTTTGTAAAAGTTTCTGTGTGGTACCTGTGTTGTACATGAGCTAACGTTAGCAGCTAAGGACTGAGAGGCTGTCCGGTGTGTGTGTGTGTGTGTGTGTGTGTGAGTGAGTGTGTGTGTGAGTGTCTGAGTAGCGTCAGTACATTAGCTTGTTAGCCGTAACGTTAGCCTTGCTGTTTGTCATGTTAACGTTATCGTCGGCAGCCCTGAATAGCTTGTAAAGCTTTAGCATAGTTAGTTAGCACATTTGTTATCGGCCCATGTGTTTACTGCTACAGAGAATTAATAAATCTTTGGTTTATTTGCACAACGTCGCCTCTCTGCCGTCTTTATCACGCTTGCTAACGCTAAGTTAACTTTACCAGCAGATCTGTATGAGGCACAAACTGAGGCTACAGTCAGCAATGTGCTGATGCTTAGTGGAATTTCTTAATCTTTTCTGTGAAACTAATGTGCATTTAATAAACATGCGTACATTATTAGCGTTATATTTTTAGGGGGAAATGCGAGTGAGAAAAATGCACCGTAGACCCATGCCTTCAGTGGACGCGCTCCCACCGTTGTTTGCTGCTCTGTCTTCATTCAGTGTCCAGCTGTCTCGTGAGATCTCTCGCCATGACCTCAGGTGCTAAATGCTGATCTCGTGAGACTACCTGGGTTGATAGTACTGCTGCTGCTGCAGGCTGCTACCGGCTGTACAACACGTCCACGGAGGAAAATAAATAGTTATAGTAAAAGATCGATTTTTTAATTAATGAATCAATATTGTGCCATTTAAAGGAAAACCGATTTGAATCGATTAAATTGATTTTTTTTCAACCCAGCTCTAGTTCTTGGAAGCAAATAGTTACCAAGGGAGTTAGTGATGTAGCTCGGTCCCAGCTCATGGAGGGCTTTGTATACAAGGAGGAGGAGCTTAACATCTAAATGAAACAGGAAGTCAGTGCAGAGCAGCTCAGACTGGCCTCACGTGCTCTCTGCTCGTGGTTCTGCTTCATAGACGAGCTGCAGTTTTCAATCAGCTGAAGTCTGTCAGTAAAAAGTCGAGTCGACTTCAAATAAAGACATGAATCAGTTTTCTGCAGCATCGCTGATGTACAGTTGTGTTTCATCTGTGTAACTATGGAAACACACATTGTTTTCTCTGATGATGTCACCAAGTGGCGGCATGTACAGTGAGAATACTAAGACAAACACTTGTGCACCTCGCCACCACTCACACATCAACACGTCCTCACTTCACACTGCTCTGTATGATCGTCACTACTTCCTGCTTTGGAAGATAAATGTCTGCACTGTATAGGACAGTAATCTGGACTGTGTGGTGCAGGCTGCGTCCTCACCTGAGTCGGAGCTGTACATGTAGACGAACCTGGTCCAGTAGAAGTGCTCCAGCAGGGCCATGAGGGGCTCCTGCAGCTGGGGCCGCAACTGCAGGACAAATTGATTGTTGGTGTGAACAGGGAAGGACGGCGTGACGAAGCACACGTGCAGAGAGCCGCAGAAGGACATCAGCATGTTGACCGTCCGCCGGTCGTACAGACCCATGATGGCATACACGCCTTTGGAGAACTGGGAGCAGACTGGGAGGAGGAAAAGGAAGAAGAAGAGATGATTATTAAAACAGAGCTCAGTGTTTCATCAGCAGGTTAAATGACAGAAACTGAACTGATAGAGGTTTTGAGATTATGGCGGTTTACTCGGCGCCATGACCATGACCATTATTCTTTGATTTCCAGTTGTTGGGAGGTGGCACGGTGACAGAAGCTGTTCTCTTTGTATTTTTATGTCATTTTTAGGTGTCACATTAATAAAGTTGCACTGAAACAGAAACAGTCTGCAGGTCAGCGCTCTGCGAGGCCCTTCTACTTTAATTTGTTCTGTTTTGGAAGATAAAACCCTCTGAGGAGGTTTTCTGCTTATCATAGAGAATCTTAATGTTCTCCAGTTCAGCTGGTTGTGAAACGATGAGCGAAGAGTCCAACAGAAAGACAATAAAGAAGAGATTATGATCCATGATCCAAATTAAAACACAGGACTGGAGGCAGACACCAGGAAGCATCAACAACATCTGATTCACTCTGACGATTAAAGAGCAGCTGAAACACGCTTCTTCTTCATGTCTGTCATTTTCAATATGTCGTACCTGTGTGTCGACCTGTGAACAGATTCCTTCTGGATAACACTGTTTACAGACTAATATTCCACTATGATTCAAAGTATTCCAACTTTAATGTGGGTCATGTAATCCACAGATTATATTGAAATATTCTGAATTCTGTATTTATACTGAACAAAAACTGAAACACATCACTTTTGATTTTGCTCCAATTTTTCACAGGTTTAACTTAAAGATCTGAGGCGGCTGCACAAAACAACTGAAGCTAAGATTATTTTGTTTCAGGGTTTCTGTGCAACTGTGTAAGTCCCTCAGTTAAGGAGAAATTAAGCCTCAAGTGTCATAGTTGAGGAAAAAACTTGAGGTGTTTTCACAGGTGACACAGGTGCGTCTCAGGGTGGTCACAGTGAAAGGTCACTCTGAAATGTCATGTCTGATCACAGCGCAGTGACACAGATGGAGCGTGTCGTTAACATGCTGACTGCAGGAACGTCCATCAGAGCTGCTGTCTGTGGACTGAATGTTCACGTCTTTACGGCCTTACGACCACACGAGTCAGTAACGATGATGAAGGTCAAGACTGTGGTGCAGATGATTTCAGACTTTAAACTGTGAAAACAGGAGCAAAAACAAAAGTGCTGCCTTTAAAGTTCGTGTGTGTGTGTGTGTGTGTGTGTGTGTGTGTGTGTGTGTGTTTCTCAGCAGGGCCTACAGTGACACAGCTCCTCTACATCTCTTCATCCTCATCATCATCCCTCTGTCCCTCTCTGTCTGTCAGTACACATCCCTCCATCCTCCGTCCTCTCCTTCACCTTCTGTCCTCTTCTCTCACATCTCTCTCTTTCCAATAACTTCATTTGTCTTGTTGTCCGTCCCATTTTTAAGCTCCACTTCCTTTTTTCCGCCTTCAAATCCAGGTCACCCAAACAAACCCAGAGAAAAATATAGTTCATTCTCTGTGTTGTAAAGTTTGTAATCTGCTGTCACAGGGCTGTGATGCGGTCCGGTCAGACGTGTGAGACTCCTGCATGTCTGAAAACACTTTTTACTAATAGATGTGATTTTGTATGAAGGTTTGTTTGTGCGTGGAGAGCACATCTCTGTATGATGGTTCAACTAAGACAGACACAAAGATCCTCTGAGCAGCAGCTGAATGAGACCAGGAGAAATCAGCAGTTAATGGTCAAAGAAACTGGAGGCTCAACATCGACATGTGAGCAGATTAAAACAGTGTCGATAACAAGCTGGAATAAACTTCAGCACAGCTCCTCTTTAAACTTCACAACAGAAACAGAAGGTTGGTGCACTGTTAGCACTGTTAGCACTGTTAGCACATCAGCTGAGTAGACTGGACACATCACAGGTTAAACCTCTTCAGTCTGAGTGCTGAGAGCCCAAAGAAAAATGCACTGACTCAATATTTACAGAGCAGCTGAGCTGCTGTGGTTCGATTATGATCGAGGGTCACTGAGAAGAAATTCAACATCCAAGTTCACACTGTGTTCTGCCTGTCATGAGACTCTTATTTCACTCGTCTCCTTTTCAAATGTCAATAACACATTTAATGTTGGAGTCAAACTCTTTTAATCTCTGAGTTTATTGAAGGGAAAGAAGAGGAACAGAAATGTAGACAACAGCTGATTGCAAAGGTTTCAACTCTTAAAATGTGTCTTTGAAGCGGCTCACACCAGTTAACAGAGAGTAAAACACACAAGTAGCAAAAACGTTCTGGGTCTCTTTGGACGATCTGTGCCTCATTTGTAATTTAAAACAATAAAGCATTAAGTCTTCGGGCTGTTCGTATGTTTTCCTTCAAAAAGTAATGCACAAAAATTTGTACATATCCCTCGTATTCAGGAGACGTTAGGAGGTAAGACAGGGTGGTGGATACATCAAACAAACACAGGACTTTCCCCTCAGAGACCAGCTTCTGAAACCATGTGAACTTTGAGTCATTTTAAGGTGCGTCACCTCCATGTTTCTCTTCTTTGATCTCACCACAGTAACTTTGCGTTAAGCACATAGCGTCATTCGTAAAGTGCTAATTTGTAGGATATCTAACCGCTGTATGAGGATACGTTCAAATCTGTTCTTTGTTGTCAAAATAAAAAACAGTGTCAGAGTACAAAAACTCAAAGCAAGTCAAAAGCAGACCGTTTTATTGTTGATGTTCTTGTCTGCGGTCGTAAGTGCTAACATCGTAAGTGCTAACATCGTAAGTGCTAACATCGTAGGCAACTGGACTTGCTTGTGTTTCTTGAAGACATTTCATCTCTCATCCAAGAAGCTTCTTCAGTTCTAAATGACTGTTGCAAAGTTGCAGGCTATAAACCCTGTGTGGGTGGGAACCCTTGCAGAGTCGTTAAGGTCTCACTGTGAGTCGTCGACCCACCTGGCCACCATGTCCATGTTCATTTTTTAGTGCACTGTCCCTTTAAGTGAAAATATATTTTGAATAAATTTGTTATTTAATGTTCCAGAACAGGACAGTTATCGTGTTTACTCTGATCAGCGATGTCTCCTTCAATTTCAGGTTGATCTTATTTTGTATTTTGAGTCAACTCTTCTTCATTTAAACCTTTCCACCAACACACTTCCTGTTCACTCATTTGTCATCACGTTTATTGTTTCACTGACTTCTGTATTTTTTTTTTAAATCTGCACGTAACACAGAGCAGAAAAAGCTCCACTTGTCGTTAGGCTAATCTAACGGACGATAACGTGTCGTTATCTTTATGGCAGACTGACAGAATTTCAGCGGCTGACTTATCTGCTGCCGTGTCGCTGATAAAGTGCAGTTTTCTGGGCCTCCACGTGGCAAATCCCCGCACACACCACGGCTTTAATCAAATTACTCTTCATGCAGGGCTCCTTCACAGTCAGGGATTAAGTCTTAAGACAAAATAATTCTCTCGGCTGAAGCATCATTCTGTGAATCACCGTCTTATTTTGTAGCACAATCCGATTTAGAGTGTATGAAAACGTGTCTGTGGTATCTGTGTCATCACCCGGAAAATCCTCACCGGGACAAAAAGTGCTGAAGCTTCCAGCAGGGCTCAGGACGACGGGCTGAGACACCTGTCAGTCAAACAAAACACACTCCTGTTTAATGTCCTCTTAACTATACAAACATCTGAACATCATCACAGCAGCAGCAGGAGGAGGACTGCGTCGACTTCATCCTGTAAAATATCATCATGTTCAGATATTATGTTAAAGAAGTCTGTCCTGATGATCGGAGCTACATCTGGAACAAAAATAAAAAACATATTTGATATGAAGCTCTTTTTATGTAAATACAGACATTACATGTGTCTCAGCCAAAAAGTTGCACCTGATCACACCGCAAAGATGAGAGCCGACGACCAACCAGCACGCACGTTCTGTGCCTGCGTGAAAGGAAATAACTCTCCTCCTGTGTGTATTCGTCACTCAAAAAGAGAAACCAGAAGACCAACTTGACGTCATTAGCCAGTTAGCACATTAACAGAACAACCTGATGATAAAAGAACAGTTAGCTGGTGGATTTACGAAGCGGAGGGAGAAGTTGTTGGAGGTAAAATTATAAACAACAGATTTTTGGCTTGTTGCCAGGAGCTGGCGAGCTAACAACCATCAGGACTGTGACCCGTCCACTCCAGAAGTGCAGCTGCAGGCTACAGGAGAGCGACACTGTGTCAGCTCTGAAGTGTTGTCTTAGTTTCCTTCGTACTCGAGCAAACAGGTGGAGCAGAGAGAGGGAGAAAATCCTGCTGGTTATTCTGCCGCCATGTTGGTTAAAATGTTGGTAAACAAACACAATGGAAATATTGAATTGGTAAAATGGTCGAGGTCACAGCCACATATCGTACAAGGAGCTGAAAATATGACATGCTGAACCAACCCGGTCTCACTCTGAAGTCATCCAATACCGGTGCTGACACTGACAAAAAGAGCCGTCATTTCACGTCATGTTATTGTTTCACTGACTGAATTTTGAAGTTTTACTAATATAAAATATTTTTCAGACACTTTAATAATGTTTGTTAGTGCATGTAACAGGCTGAAGTTGACACGGCGTCCCAGAGCATCAACAACCAACACACCCAGGGTACCTTGGACGTCATAAGTGGACGTGGAAAGACCATGACCAAACCTCAAGGCAACTGAATCGAACGCAAATGGACTTAGTTTTGTCTTAGAAGACGTTTCACCTGTTATCCAAGAGGCTTCACCGTTGCAGCAGGAGTTTCAACGACCGTCGTTGACACACCATTGTAGCACTAACGAACCAGTGACATCATTGGCCTTGTGAAGACCTCCCCAGAGGTTAAATACCTGGGTTGTTTCCACACCAGTTTGTCAGACTGGTTCCAGCCTAGTCAGACAAGCATGAACTGATGAAGCCTCTTGGATAAGAGGTAAAACGTCTTCTGAGAATATCCACAGGCATCCATGACCAAACGTGGACATGTGACGAGGTCA